AACTTGACTGGTAGTGTAGGCTGATTATTCTTATAGACTGAAACAAATGTGCTTCAGCCAGGATAAAGAGTATGAAAAGTGCTCTGAGTTGCTGTAGAAAACAAAAACAATTGAGCAACAACAAAAACATGTTGCTGGAGACGGGCTTATTGAAAATGCAAACTGATTCTCCGCCAGCAGGAGGCGCTTTGAGAGTGGTTAGAACTAGCAGTTTCTCCAGTAACGGCTGTAATCAAAGCAGCTCAGCTCATGAACGCTTCTTTATCAGATAAAATGAAAATGCCATCGAAACTTTTTTGAAGACAGTCGGTTCCCTTCAGAGATACATTCATATAAAACACCCGCGCCGCGTTTTGATTTTGAAATGTGCTCATGTTTATTCAACGAAGTCAAACGCCACAAATAAATCAATGCATGGGAAACACTGGTAATATCGAAATATCGGAAAGGTGTTTAAAAATCATATCACCATTATTGAAAAAAATTATATCGAGATACATATTGATGTTGAATTATTGTCCAGCCCTATGATTTACTCATCCTCAAGCTATCCTAGGTGTATATGACTTTCTTCTTTCAGGCAAATACAATTGAAGTTATACTGAAAAATGGCCTGGCTCTTCCAAGCTTTATAATAGCAGTGAATGGGGATCGAAATTTTTAAGCCCAAAAAAGTGCATCCATCCATCATAAAAAGTACTCTACATGGCTCCAGGGGGTTAATAAAGGCCTTCTGAAGTGAAGCAATGCGTTTGTATAAGAAATATATCCATATTTAAAACTTTATAAACCGTAATCTCTAGTTTCCGCTAATTGTTGTACGCACGTACACGAGAGTGGCATTCCAGCAGATGACTCTTTAAGACACGTTTCCAAAGCTGTTAAACTTATGACCCTTGGCTCTCCACAATGTATGAGATTTCAGGTTTTATTATCCTTGTGGAAACATTTGGTCCCCAAAACATTGTCAACATCTAGTGTGCGCAAACTCGCCTCTCTCACTGGCGTCATCCACCAGCACGATTTCCTCCAGCAGGTGTCTTGGTGACCTGTCGATGGCGCTGTGGACCGTTCGGAGCAGAGTGGTCCACGCTTCATTATGGAACACAATCACCACACTGGTGCGTGGGAGATCGTCTGGATACACCTTTGTTTTACACCTGCAAAATATAAAACTTGGCAATGAGAATGGGCAAAACTTGCAGACAATTAAGTTAAAGATATTAAAAAAAGCTACATTCTCCTAAACTCTCTTCCCTCCTGAGCACAGAAATGAACAGACCGCACAGGGTCTGGAGAGCTGCAGAGAGCTCTGTTTGAGATGAGAGGAGATTAGCACTTATCAGAAACACACAGGCCGTTATGGAGAAACAGTGAGTGGAGAGCTGCTGGAGAGACTGTGAATGTATCTCATTTAGTGTGAGGAGCTCTAAAAATAGATGACACTGGAATAAATGATGACAGAGAGTCTGAATGAATGTTTGTGACTTTGGCAGGTTTGGTCACACCTTACGGTATGGTGTAATATTCAGTGTAAATGAGTTAACAATCAGCATTAACCAACAGAAACAAGAAACAGATTTATTATTACTGTTATTAGCACTTTCACTTTAGTGTCTTTATCTTTAGCTCAATCTTCTTAAAGGAACAGTTCATCTAAAAACTTCTGTATGAACACAACAGAAGCTTAGAGGAATGTTGACGCTTTCATACAATGAAAATAAATGGGCCATATGATGTCAATGATGGCTATGTGATTGGTTCTTCTGTATTATAAACTATCGTGACACACCAAATTTGAATAATTTTGAACTAATTTTGAATGTTCAAGTTTCACAAATAAAAAAGATAACATATTCAGTAAATGATTTAGGACTTCAAATTTCAGTTGGTTTTTGGGTATATGGAGCCCCTAAAGGGACATGGTGATAGAAAAAAATAAGAGCTGGGAGAAAAGAATAATATGTTTTTGTATATTAGCATAAAATGCATATTAGCATTCCTGCCTCATTTCTTATTGTATATTAGCATAAAAGCATAAACCGGTTTTATGTTCACTCACAAAAGTTTTGCATTTCCCAAGAAACTGTGCATTTGTGCTCCCAAGAAACTGTGCATTCTCTCACAAAACTTTTGTGTTTGCATGAAAAACCTCTGAGTTCCCCCAAGAAACTTTGTATTCGCTCACAACACTTTTGCGTTTGCATGAAAAACCTCTGAGTTTCCCCAAGAAACTTTGTATTTGCTCACAAAAAGTTTCTCGGGGGAACGAAAAATTTATAAAAAAAAAAAATCTCATCACTATGTCCCTTTAGGGGCACCATAGAACTATTACTTTAAGTTCTGTTAAATTAAGGTTACTTAATTTATCAATTTTTGGTAATTTCATTGTACAAATTCAATTTCTACAGTAATGTTTATTGTTACTTTCTTTTTCCTTTTCACCAATTCTCATTGCAGCCAGTTATTCTGGGAATGAGAATGTTCTGGTAATAAGAACGTTCTTTAACACACAATGAATTTAATTGAAGAGGGAGAAAGTGAGATTCCAATCTTTCTTGGATTCCAGAATATGGTCTGAAATTCCAATAAATGTTTCCATAAACATTCCATTCCTCGACTTCCTCATTGGTCTAAATTTCAATCAGTCATCCAGAGCATGGGCTCTGATTGGTCGTTTGAGGGGCTGTGGGCAGGTTCAGAGAATGTGTTGATTGTTTGTCGATTATGTAACTGCAGGTCACTGTGCCAGTCTATGCTGTTGTAGGAAGAGGAAAGCCAGTGTTTGTTGTATCTGGAGAGCTAAAGTGGGACACACGCTTCCACTTCCTGTCTCATTTCCTGTTTGCCCTAGCACAGCTGGGGAATTTTGGCCTGCAATCACCCAAAAAGACAAAACATCAAGCACAAAACCACATTCAGCAGCAAACATAACTACAATGATCCAAATGATTAATAACCTACACGAAAAACAATAACGCTAAAACATTTAAAGAGAGACAAGAGACAAAACACCTTCCAACCTACTTGCCATCACACACACAATTAATTAAATGAAGGTGAGGGGTTGTAGCCCATCATGTCCCATCACTGCGGTAACACAAACCCTCTTGGCCCCATCTTTCTTAAACTCATCATCTGGAAACACACAGACTGCTCTTTTTAAATTCATTAACCTGATGTTGACTCTCAGGACCCCAGACAATGGTTTAATTTGCAGCCGAGGTGTCTCATTGGTCAGCCCTGCTACCTGCTTGATTAAAATGAAGCACAGATTTCACTCTCATTCCATGGTGTCCGTTCTCCTAGATTTTCTGTCTCTCTATAAAAATCTATTTTGTAAAGCAGGGAGATCATGCATCCCTTCCCTCCAACCAGCACAGACACCATCAGTGTTAGTGAGTTGAGTGGGTGAGGTAGCATATGTCTGGCCATGGCTTTATATGTGCATATGTGTGTGTGTGTGTGTGTCTAAGAGCAAAAGCTAAATCAGCCTAAAATAGCTGCGACAACGTGGAAACGAATGGCTGATCAAAAGATGGAAGGAATCAAAGATGGAACACACACACACATGCTCGCACAAACCCTCAGAGACACCAGACACGCACACAATCACATTTCTCAGGCCCTAGGAATAATTGGATATATTTGGTGCAATCAGAGAGAGACAAAAAACAGCCGTAGGTCTGTAGAACTCTTCCATATCTCTCTCTCTCTCGCACACACACACACACATTATACTGGATACTGGACTCCTCTAGTGCTGTGTTCAAAATATCGATACGACGATGTATCGTCACAGAGATTTGACGATACGAGTATTGATACAGCTGGCCCTGTATCGATATTGTGGCACGTGTGCAGCAGTGGACCACGATTAATTTGTTTAAAATTTTACAACGTTTAAAATTGAGTAGAAAAGTGCGAGGTTTCTAAAAAAGAATGAATAGAGCATATATA